TGTCCTTGCTTTCCTCCCCGCCGGGACGTGGGGAAAAGGGCGCAGGTCTCGGCTGCTGGGAGCCAGGCTGGCTTTTCACAGCATCCCTTAGCACTGCCTCTCCCTCCCGGAGCAAGTGCCGCTCATCCTGCAGAGACGTCACACTCAGAGGTGACGTTATAGCTCAGAGCGGGGGACGGGGGGGTGTCCTTTCCCCCTCCAAATTCCCCCTCTCTCCCTTTCCAAGAAGAATCCTCCTCCATCAAAAGCACTCGAGAGCCCTGGCGGAGAACAAGCCACATCTCAGGTGTTTGGGGCGTTTTGGGGCCCGGTGGTTACGTGAGGTCCCCCTTCACTGGAGCTGCTGCCTTTGCTGTCTGCCCAGTGAAAGCCAGCTCGTGCGAGGCTGCCGCGGCGCTCGCTCTGGTCATGCCCTGGCCGTGGCAGCGTGTCACCGCGCGGTGACATGGCAATGGCTCAAGCGGAGGCTCCAGCGTTTAAAGGCGCCTGCCTGCCGGGATGGCGGCGGGTCTCAGCTCTGCTCGGCGGGAGCATGGACGAGCCGAGTCCTTCTGGGCCGTGCTGCTCCTCCCCGGGAGGACGGCTTCGCTTTCCTCCCTGCTCCAACAGAGAGGAACCGAGGCAGAGAGTGACGACGGACCAGATCGCTGCCATGCAGTGCAAGGGTCTCTGAGCAGAGTCGGGTGTAAAGCGGGGCTCCTCGGAGCGCAGGTAGCGACTGGAAAGCAAAGGCACCAGCTTGCAGGGGGCAGATGGACCGGAGACGGACGTGAGCCAAACCACCTGAAGCCTGTGGATGTTGCTTGGCTTCCTCAGGCTGCAGCCCCACAGGAGGAGCCGTGGGGCCCTGCCAGGAGAGACCAGGCTTGGGCACCCAAACTCAGGTGCCTCCAGCCCCTATGGACATCGCTGTCATGAGCCGGGCCGTCCTCGGCGAGTCCTGGGGAGGGACGCTGGGGACTGAGAAAGGCAGGAGGCTGAGAGCAAGGAGGGTCCCTTGGTGCTCAGATCTTTGTAATTATAGATTTCTGTCTGTGCACCAGCCATCCTCGGGACTTGGGGCTTTGGTGAAGGATGTGGCCCTGCAACGCGATCCTGGATCCCCAATCCTGCCTTTAATCCTTGCTGTACTTTGGGGGTTGATTTTTCCCTCTCCATTAATCTCTGAATATTAGGTGGAAAGTGAACAATTACTGTGCTAATGGCTCCATAAATTCCTTCATCACTTATTAAACTCGAACACTCCCCGTGCAGCAGAGGAAAAGAGATGAAATGGTGAAGAATAGGGAGGGGGGGGGGGCGAGCGAGGGGCAGGGGCTGCCGGGCAGGAGAGGCAGAGCCCCCGGGCATGGGGCTGGGGTCCCCGGGGTGCAGCGGGCGCCTGGGGCTGCTCACTACCAGGACGCTCCCAGGAGGCGGTCAGGTGGGATGGGGCACAGGGACCACCCCGCTTGGGGAACGGCCACAAAAGCTGCCCCCAAAGCCCTCGGGGAGGGTGCTGAGCGGAGCTGAACCAGCGTGAAGGGAGCCTGGCTTTAGGCAGCAGTTAACTCCAGCAGGTCTTAAACTTAACCCCCATCTCCATGCTGCCTCCCACCCCCCCCTCCCCAAGGCTGCCAGCCAGTGCTGGACACTGCTTTCCCAGCTGCAGGAAGAAATCTGCGCTCTCCTGGCTTTCCTCGAGGTACTGGGAGCTGCCTTGCGGTTCATTGCCAAATCTCGCCGGCATCCCGCAGGGTGGATGTTCTCTGGTTTTCTTCTGCTAGCGAAGGCGAGGTCTGGGCCGCTGTGGAGACGGTCGTGAGAATTGCAGCGACCCTTCGGGGGACGCTTTCGCCTCTTCCCCGGGTCAGAGTGCGCGACAGCTCACTTCTGGGCTGGCAGCTCCAGTCCCGGGAGGGCTCTTGTGGCCTCGCCTAAGTGAAGCTAATGTATTTCGACATCCCTAATGGCCAGCTGGGATACAAGCGCATCTCCAGGAAGAAAGGCAGCTCGGCTGAATGCAAAACTGCAAACAAGCAAACGCCTCCCCAGTCGAGACGCTCGCAAGTCTTTTACCCGTGTCGATCAGCGGGGCTCGGAGCGGGGGCGTTGGGATCCTGCCAGGGAGCTCTCTTTGCTTCTCCTCCTCCATCAGACCGACCTGCTCCTCCGCCATCAGCTCCAGCCAGGTTTGGAAAAGAAGATGCACAGTTAAACCCCTAGAAAATGCTTTTTGCAGGAAAACAGCAAGGTTTTTTTGGTTCTACAACACCCAAGTATCCTCCGGGATGAACCCAGCTCTGCAGAGGTACCTGGATACCCAACTCCCACAGCCACCAAATGTAATTAGATGTTTATATCTAGACCAGGGGCTCAAGGGCCATCTGGCACCTTAATTATTCATACACACGCATATATAAGCGCAGACAGAGCGCTCTTTATCTAGCCTGGGCCTGGGGGGAGATTCCTGCTCACGCCGGGTCGTTTCTCATGGCCTGACAAAGAGCTTTTCTCCAGGGCTGGTTTCAGGTCCTGCGCTGCCTTTTCCCGGTGCCAAAAACCCACCGGTGCCACTGAATCGGGTGCCGCAGAGCTCCACGTTGACAGCGACGGCCGGGGAGGTGGAAAAATCCAGGAGGAGAAGAGTCCTCCCTTGGAAGGAGCGGGTCAGGAGGACTGAAATCAGATTAAATGTCGGTCAGGAGGGCCCGTCCCTGCCGTGATGCGGCCCAGCGCTCCCCCAAGGTGTCTTTTAAGCCGTGACTCATCAGCCGAGGAATTTGAATTCCTGCGTTTCTCTCCCCAGCCGAGGCAGCACGAGGAAGCGGTTGGGCCCTCGGCAGATAGACGGCTCTGTAACTACCTGTTTAAAGTGATGCATTTCCTCTCAAGCCCGTGGAGCCGTGCCAGGTTTTACCAGATGTAACCTCAAGGATGAAGCTGAAATACGGCAAAATAGGGTTTTCCCCCCCAGTTTTACCTTACCTAGCCAAGGAGTGATTCCTCAGAGATGCACCGACAGCCACCATGGGGCGTGCAGGAGGGGAGCTGGTGGGGAGGGGTGTCTGCAGGGGTGCGGGCGCATCTGATCCAGGCTAAAATGATGCTTTTTTTTAATTGTAAACTGGGATATTCTGCTCCCCACAACATGCGGTGGGCTCCTTCTTGAATCATAGCCCATCCCAGAAATAGCTCTAGAAGTATCGCACAACCCTGGCCCTGGAAGCAAGAGATTTCTGTGAAACGGTAACACCTTGACAGAACAGCAATTTTTCTAGGGGGGAAAAGAAAAAAAGAGAAGAAAAGGCCGAGCTTTATCTTTCAGCTGTGTCTCCCCAGGAAAGCGGCTCGACCCAGACAAGAGCCGGGGTTGCGATAATCCTGTCTGACAGACTCCAGGTCTCGCTCAGCTGAGGCTCCTCCGCGCCAGCGATGCCACCCCTGCCTCACGTACCTGCGTATCGCTTCACCTGGATGATCCCCAGCCATCTAATTGTGCCTGTCTTCCGCATATTCTACGATAATTACATCCACGTGTGTATCTCCCGTGTCACCGCAGGGCTGCCTCCGATACGGCGTTAGGTTAACTCGGCGTCGTTACATAGGAGGATCTCCTTTTCGGAAGCTTAACGTGTATTTCAAACACGATCTCTATTACTCCAAGGTCTATATTTAGACATCAGCTATTTACCCACCACTGCAAACCCACCCACAATTTCAGGAGCCTCTGTACCATCGCTGTCAGAATGAGATGATATGACAGGGAGAAAGGCACTCTAATGGACCGCTATTAAAAAAAATAAATAAAACCCCCTCTGATTCAATTCTCCCTCTGTTGGATTAAGACGTTCCTGGGGAGCGATCTTGTTTCCATGGGGTGACACAGAGATGCGAGGACATTTCACTTACAGGCACAGCGAGGGAACGTCGCGCTTTCTGCTCTCTTTATTCCAAACCGCTTAGGCTGCGATTATAAAACACGGCTCAGGGGGGCCGTCGCATCGCTGGGTTAATGAAGTTCTTCCTACTGCAGTGTGGTTGCAGGTTTGGTGCTTTGTTTTTCTGGTTGGTTTTTTTTTTTTTCCTCCTCAGGTACAGCTGGATTTTGATGCGTTTCGATGGCAGCCAACAAAAACGGATGGATAGTTCTCCAGCACAGCCCTGTGGGGGGTGGGGGTGGTGAAATTAGGGTGTGGAGGGGATGATTTATGGGATAGTAGGATGCAGGGGCAGCACTTCCACAAGGGACGGCAAGGGCCCCCTCTGCCACCACTTTCTCTGCCTTTCAATCATCTTCCTTTTTCCCTTCTACACCTCATACAGGCAGAGCGGGGGGGCAAGGAGGAGGAAGGGGCGTAGGATCCCCACAGGATACACAGATTTGAGCCCTTTCTGTTCGATGGGGCCTGGGCTTCCCTGCCCCGGAGGCTGCAGCGGCTCTGAACCCTTTGCCTCAGAGGAAGGCCCAAACCCAAGTTGGTCTTCCCCATCCCCAACCGCCCCCTGAGCTCCAGCTCCCGCATGCCAGACAAGAACGCTGGTGAAAGTGAAAACCTATCAGCGTAATTAGCGTTTTCTGTGACGCTTTCAATGGGGAACACCGCAAAGGGCTGGAACGCCTCGAGTGCAGCAGGGGCAGGGCCAGGCCTGGCCGCGGCTCCTCCCCAGGCTCCCACATCCAGGAGGG